TTCTATTTTGAATTTTTATTCAAACAAAAAATAGAAGACTTACTATTATGCAGACTACTGCAATACTGTAATAATTGTATAAATAACATCAACCCATTCATGACTGCATATTAGAATGGCTAGTTGGACATTTATTGGACAATGGCATCACTTGTTTACTTTTGAACATTGGCAAAAATCAAACATTTCCCCTACTTTGAGCTCCATTTCTAGGTTCTTTTTATAGTAAAATCAATCAAAATCACCTCTATTTCTATAATATGTTTTCCATTCTATCAAATGAGACCAAGAAAACGAGAATACAACCATAAATACTATACGAAAATAGACCACAAAGTCGGCATTTTAATTAAAAAAAAACGGTCAAAGTTTTTTTTTCTCATTATGCACTGCGTGCTCCAGGATTTTTTTTATATGGTGCACACTGACCACACAGACCCATTCTCTCACATGTGGGCCTACCAGCTTTTTCCTGCTTGATTTGAATCCGCTAGAATTTATGAGTATATATACGTCAAACACGGTACCTCGTAAGACGTATATATACGGCGGCGACAGTCAAAGGGTTAAAGACAGCCAGGGATCTACTGGTAATCCCCCTTATGTATGCTGGGAGGCAGTTCAACAGTCTTGGATCCCGGACACTTACTGTGTTCTCTCTCACTGTACTCGTGGTACCCCTGCTTTTCATTGGGGAAATGTTGAATCTCTTGCCAAGTCTTTTGCTTTCATAGGGAGTGATTTTCGTGGGCAGGTTTGGTACCAATCCCTCCACGATCTTCTAAGTGTATATTATCATGTATCTCTTTTGCCTGCATTCCAGGGAATACAGATCAAGGCCCTTTAACCATTCCCAGTAATTTAGGTGCCTTATCGTACATATGTGTGCCGTGAAAGTTCTTTTATATGCTCTCCAGGTCTACAATGTCTCCAGCCTTGAAAGGGGCCATTAGTGTACAGCAGTATTCCATTATGTATTATTATTATAATCAAGGGGGAAGCGCTAAACCCGGAGGATTATACAGCGCCTGGGGGGGATGTGGAAGGCATTCAGGCTTAATTTGGGGAACTGGAGCACAGATCCAATTCCCTAAATCAAGAGCCCCTCACCAACATCAAGGAACCTTCCTTGAGGGGAGCAGTATTCCAGCCTAGAGAGAACAAGCGATTTGAAGAGGATTGTCATGGGCTTGGCATCCCAAGTTTTGAAGGTTCTCATTATCCATCCTATCATTTTCCTAGCAGATGAGGTAGATACATTGTTGTGGTCTTTGATGGCGAGATCCTCTGACATTATCACTCCCAGGTCCTTCACATTTCTTTTTCGCTCTACTGTATGGGTAGAATTTGTCATATACCCCGATACATTTTTAATTTCCTCAAGTTTTCCATATCTGAGTAGTTAAAATTTCTCCTCACTGAACTTCATACTGTTTTGAGTGGCCTATTTGAAGATTTGGTTGATGTCTGCTTGGAGTCTTGCGGTGTCTTTGATGGAGGTCACTGCCATGGCAATCCAGGTGTCATCCACAAAGGAAGACATGGAGCTATGGCTTACATCTCTATGTCCAAAATGAGGATGAGGATTAGAATGGGAGCGAGTACTGTGCCTTGTGGAACAGAGCTTTTCACCGTAGCTGCCTGAGACTTTACTCTGTGTACTATTACTCTTTGTGTTCTATTTGTCAGGAAGTTAAAGATTCATCTACCAACTTTTCCTGTTATTCCTTTATCACACATTTTGTGTGCTATTATACCATGGTCACACTTGTTGAAAGCTTTTGCAAAGTCTGTGTATACTACATCTGTATTGTGTTTATCCTCAACAGCATCCAGGACTTTGTCATAGTGATCCAGTAGCTGGGACAGGCAGGAGTGACCTGCCCTAAACCCGTGTTGCCCTGGGTTGTGTAATTGATGGGTATCTAGGTGGTTGGCGATCTTGCTTCTTAGAACCCTCTCAAAGATTTTTATATGGGATGTTAGCGCTATTTATTTATTTATTTATTTATTTATAATTTGAGCACACATACAGAGGTACAAAAAAAAATACAGATAAGAGCAGCATGCCAAAGCCACTTATACTATGCATAGCATTACGGGCTGGCTTAAAATTAACTTAAGATTAACTAAGCAATGATGAAATCAGTGAAAAACATTAATGTAAACTGATTACTATAAAGCACAATTGAGTATTACAAAGACAGGTCATATGGTTGCATGCATTGTTGTAAATTCAGTAGAATGGAGTATTCTGTTAGGTAGTGTATTTAAAAAATAATAAAGTTAGATTGGGTTTTAGGTTTAACATTTATGTGATATAATTGTGAGAAACATTTAAGATATACAATTTATAAGGTTCAGTTATTCAGTATTTATTTGGTTTTGGGTGAGTAAGTGATCTTTGAGAAGAGACTTGAATTTATAAACAGGTAGTGTTTCTTTTATATTTACAGGTAATGAATTCCAGATTTTAGGGCCTTTTATGTGCATTGAGTTTTTGCATAGCGTGAGATGGACACGAGGAATATCAAAGAGTGATCTGTGCCTTGTGTTATGGTCATGTGTTCTGTTGAGGTTGGCAAGGAGATGTTTGAGGGGAGGGTTAATATCAGAGTTGAGTGTTCTATGTATGTAATAGGTGCAGTAATAAGTATGGATGTTTTGTATGGTGAGTAGGTTGAGTGTATTGAATATTGGTGGAGTGTGCTGCCTGTAGTGAGAATTTGTTATCATTCTAACTGCAGCCTTTTGTTGGGTAATTAGTGGTCTGAGATGGTTACTTGTTGTTGAGCCCCATGCACAAATTCCATAGGTGAGATAGGGGTAAATAAGAGAGTGATATAGGGCCAGGAGGGCTGACTGTGGAGCATAGTACCGTATCTTCGATAGTATGCCTACAGTCTTGGAAATTTTCTTAGAAATTTGTTGTATATGTGTATGAAATTTGAGTCTATTATCAAGGTGGATTCCTAAGAATTTTCCCTCTGTTAGCTTTGTGATAGGTGATCCGTTTATCATTATGTTAAGAGGGACATCTGTAGCTCTATTACCAAACTGAATGAAGTAGGTTTTGTCAATGTTTAGTGTAAGTTTGTTAGTACTCATCCAGGTAGATATTTTCTGTAATTCGGTATTTACAGTATTGGCTAGCGTGACTGGGCTCGGGTGGGAGAAGACGTATGTTGTGTCATCAGCAAATAGTGTGGGTTTGAGTAATTGCGAAGCATTTGGTAGGTCATTTATGTATAGGAGAAGGTCTGTAGTTCTTTGCAAATGCTTTACTGCCAGCTTTGTGGAGTAAGGCTATATCTGTTTTTTTAGTGTGTGTGGGATGACCCCTGTGTCCATGTTCCCTCTCCATAGAATGCTGAAGGCACGTGATAGGGGATTCTTGCAACCTTTGATGAACACGGAGTTCCACGAGTCTGAACCTGGGTCTGAGTGCATGGGCATGTCATTTATTGCCTTTTCAGTCTTGCTGGTGAACAGGGACAACAGGTGTAAGGAAACACACCCAATGTTTCCACCAAATCCAGGGAATGAACCACGAATACTCACTGTGTGAGGCGAGAGGATTGCGTACCAGGCTTTAAATACAGGTTGGACAAGTATGTGAGTATGTGTGCATGGATGAGTTGAACTTGCCCCGCGCTGTTTCCCTTTTCTTAAGGTTAATCATAATTTTAAAGTTTTACAGTAGTTTTTTTGTAGAAAATTGTCTCTTGTGGCTTGCCTGGAGACCTGGAGTTTACCTGGAGAGAGTTCCGGGGATCAACGCCCCCGCGGCCCGGTCTATGACCAGGCCTCCATGTTGTTGTCACTGCTGCTGCTGCTGCTGGCAACACTCTTGCCTCACACAGAGTGACTGTGGTTGAATCCCCGGTACAAGTGAAACTTTGGGCATGTTTCCTTACACCTGCTGTCCCTACCTGGGTGTTAGCTGACTGGTGTGGGCAGCATCCTGGGGTGTTGATTGGTGTGGGTGGCATCCAGGGGTGGTGTCGTTGGTGTGGGTGGCAACCTGGGATGTTGACTGGTGTGAGTGGCATCTTGGGGGGGTCCACTGGTGTGGGTGGCATCTTGGGGGGGTTGACTGGTGTGGGTGGCATCTTCGGGGGTCGACTGGTGTGGGTGGCATCCTGGGGGACAAGATTGAAGAACCACAATGGAAATAAGACAGACAGTCCTCGATGATGCACTGACTTGGGTTATCCTGAGTGGCTAACCCCTCCAGGTTAAAAATCTGAACAGAATCTTATTTTATAATTTAACTAAGGATAACCCAATACTCAAAGTGACTTATTTCCATTTTACTAGTACATAATTCTTATTACGATTACAAGCGCTAAACCCATGAAGGTTATACAGCACTGTATTTCCATTGGAATAACTGGTTCTCATTTGGTTCCTTGAGTTTCACTGGGATCAAGAGCCTTTCTTCAGCATCAAGGGCCCTGCTCTGAAGTTAATATATGAATTATCTGTAAAGCAAAAAATATTATATTTGCAAAAATAAGGTAATTATTTTAACCAGGGAGAGCATTAAACACACATGGGTCATAAAATGCATAAGTAATGGGAGGCAATCAGGTTTGATCCAAGGGAAGGGTAAGCCCCGTCCCTCGGATCAAGAGCCCATCACTGACACTAAGGCAGTGTAGGTCAATCCCAGTTATAAGAGTCCACAGGGAAAGCGCTAAGCCCATATGGGCCACCCAGTACCCGGGACGTTCACATGAGGTTCATTACTGCCTTGAGGAACGCCACCCCATGATACCTTATTTTACACCATATTTCACATGGAGAATGGGGGAAATATAAGACAATCAGAAAATGGGGCAATGGGAGGGTAAGAATGGGTAATTGGAAACCAAAACAACTCCACATCCCTGGATCAAGATCTGTTATAAGAGAAAGCAAGTATTAACCACTTTCAAATTACTTTCACCTCATTTTAAAACTCAAAATTTAACATTAGAAAAATCTCAAATACTAACCTTCATATTTTAACGTTAAAAAGCCAAGTAAATGTTGAATATAATTAAAAAAAAACACTTGTTTATAATGTTGAAGTATATAGATAAGCGTTTCTACTAACTTGAAGGTCACTGACTATAAATTTAGAAACTATCATGTGAATATACATAATATGGATGTATATATAAATTATTACTATCTGGGAGCCTATATACTAACTTAGATCATTATAGAAAAATTGTATATAATTTTAGTAAGCTGCTTGAAATAAAAGTCCCCCCCCCCCAAAAAAAAAAAAAACAATTGAAGTACAGATTTTTTGGAGAGAAAATCAGTAGTATTTTCGGCATTTCGGGCATATGTGATGCAATTCATGGCCATTTTCAAAAAAATCATGTCAAAAATTGTATATTCAAAGCATTATCAATATTATTTGACTAGCTAAGAATATGAATATATATATATATATATATATAATATATATATAATATATATATATATATATATATATAATATATATATATATATATATATATATATATATATATATATATATATATATATATATATATATATATTATTTCAGGCAACACCAGGAATATGAATAAAAAAATCACAGTGTAAACAAATCAATTTTTCACTTTATTAATTTTCTTGATTAAAATCTAAACAATTTACTATAGTATTTGACCATTGTAAAAGTTTGAAATTGTGCCATGAGGCCTAAATAAAAAAAAATATGAGGTAGAAATTACAGTAGAAGGTAGTGACAATTTTTTTTTGCATGGTTAAAATGTGAATTACAAGATTATTACATAAATAATTAAAAAGACAATACCATGACAGGAACAATACACAATAACCAACAATACCATGACAGGAACAATGCACAATAACCCACAATACCATGACAGGAACAATACATAATAACCCACAATACCATGACAGGAACAATACACAATAACCCACAATACCATGACAGGAACAATACACAATAACCCACAATACCATGACAGGAACAATACACAATAACCCACAATACCATGACTGGAACAACATACAAATAACCAACAATACCATGACAGGAACAATGCACAATAACCCACAATACCATGACTGGAACAATACACAATAACCCACAATACCATGACTGGAACAATACACAATAACCCACAATGCCATGACAGGAACAATACACAATAACCCACAATATCATGACTGGAACAACATACAAATAACCAACAATACCATGACAGGAACAATGCACAATAACCCACAATACCATGACAGGAACAATGCACAATAACCCACAATACCATGACTGGAACAATACACAATAACCCACAATACCATGACAGGAACAACATACAAATAACCAACAATACCATGACAGGAACAATACACAATAACCCACAATATCATGACTGGAACAACATACAAATAACCAACAATACCATGACAGGAACAATACACAATAACCCACAATACCATGACAGGAACAATTCACAATAACCCACAATACCATGACAGGAACAATACACAATAACCCACAATACCATGACTGGAACAATGCACAATAACCCACAATACCATGACTGGAACAATGCACAATAACCCACAATACCATGACTGGAACAACACATAATAACCCACAATACCATGACTGGAACAATGCACAATAACCCACAATACCATGACTGGAACAATACACAATAACCCACAATACCATGACTGGAACAATGCACAATAACCCACAATACCATGACAGGAACAATACACAAGAACCCACAATACCATGACTGGAACAATACACAAATAACCCACAATACCATGACTGGAACAATACACAATAACCCACAATACCATGACTGGAACAATACACAATAACCCACAATACCATGACTGGAACAACACACAGTAACCCACAGTACCACGACTGGAACAATATACAAATAACCCACAATACCATGAAAAGTTCTGTTCCACAAGGCACAGTACTCGCTCCCATCTTGTTCCTCATCCTTATATCCGACATAGACAAGGATGTCAGCCACAGCACCGTGTCTTCCTTTGCAGATGACACCCGAATCTGCATGACAGTGTCTTCCATTGCAGACCTTGCAAGGCTCCAGGCGGACATCAACCAAATCTTTCAGTGGGCTGCAGAAAACAATATGAAGTTCAACGATGAGAAATTTCAATTACTCAGATATGGTAAACATGAGGAAATTAAATCTTCATCAGAGTACAAAACAAATTCTGGCCACAAAATAGAGCGAAACACCAACGTCAAAGACCTGGGAGTGATCATGTCGGAGGATCTCACCTTCAAGGACCATAACATTGTATCAATCGCATCTGCTAGAAAAATGACAGGATGGATAATGAGAACCTTCAAAACTAGGGATGCCAAGCCCATGATGACACTCTTCAGGTCACTTGTTCTATCTAGGCTGGATGTATAGCCCTTGTGGCTTAGCGCTTCTTTTTTATTATAATAATAATAATATCTAGGCTGGAACATTGCTGCACACTAACAGCACCTTTCAAGGCAGGTGAAATTGCTGACCTAGAAAATGTACAGAGAACCTTCACAGCGCGCATAACGGAGATAAAACACCTAAATTACTGGGAGCGCTTGAGGTTCCTAAACCTGTATTCCCTGGAACGCAGGCGGGAGAGATACATGATTATATACACCTGGAAAATCCTAGAGGGACTAGTACCGAACTTGCACACGAAAATCACTCACTACGAAAGCAAAAGACTTGGCAGACGATGCAACATCCCCCCAATGAAAAGCAGGGGTGTCACTAGCACGTTAAGAGACCATACAATAAGTGTCAGGGGCCCGAGACTGTTCAACTGCCTCCCAGCATACATAAGGGGGATTACCAACAGACCCCTGGCAGTCTTCAAGCTGGCACTGGACAAGCACCTAAAGTCGGTTCCTGACCAGCCGGGCTGTGGCTGGTACGTTGGTTTGCGTGCAGCCAACAGTAACAGCCTGGTTGATCAGGCTCTGATCCACCAGGAGGCCTGGTCACAGACCGGGCCGCGGGGGCGTTGACCCCCGGAACACTCTCCAGGTAAACTGGAACAATACACAATAACCCACAATACCATGACTGGAACAATACACAATAACCCACAATACCATGACTGGAACAATACACAATAACCCACAATACCATGACTAGAACAATACACAATTACCCACAATACCATGACTGGAACAATACACAATAACCCACAATACCATGACTGGAACAATGCACAATAACCCACAATACCATGACTGGAACAATGCACAATAACCCACAATACCATGACAGGAACAATACACAATAACCCACAATACCATGACTGGAACAATGCACAATAACCCACAATACCATGACTGGAACAATGCACAATAACCCACAATACCATGACAGGAACAATACACAAATAACCCACAATACCCACAGTACCACTTTGATTTCTTTTATTTAGTTAGTTAGTTAGTTTAATATGTTTATTATGCACCCCATACCCATCCTGTGGGCGGTAGTCAAAAGATTACAGAGGTACATAATTGGTCCAGGGACTGGACTCCATAGTTTTGATAGCTGAGCAAGTTACAGAGGTAATGAACTCACAATTTACAAAGGTAATGAACTCACAATTTACAAAGGTAATGAACTCACAATTTACAAAGGTAATGAACTCCAGGTAGGTCTGGTCACAATCATGACAAGTTACAAAGGTAATGAACTCACAATTTACAAAGGTAATGAACTCCAGGTAGGTCTGGTCACAATCATGACAAGTTACAAAGGTATTTACAGATTACAGAGGTACGTAATGGGTCCAGGGACTGGGCCCCCAAAGTTTTGATAGCTGAACTAGGTACAAAGGTAATGAGCTCACAAGTTACAAAGGTAATGAATTCTGTAGAATGGTTACTTACGTTTATACATGCTACAATCATGAATAAATTATAGAGTAATGAGCAATTCACACTTCCACACCCGGTCACAACTGTAATGAGTTATTTATTATCATCACACTGGCCGATTCCCACCAAGGCAGGGTGGCCCGAAAAAGAAAAACTTTCACCATCATTCACTCCATCACTGTCTTGCCAGAAGGGTGCTTTACACTACAGTTTTTAAACTGCAACATTAACACCCCTCCTTCAGAGTGCAGGCACTGTACTTCCCATCTCCAGGACTCAAGTCCGGCCTGCCGGTTTCCCTGAACCCCTTCATGAGTTATTGGTGCAAATATTGATTGTTGAGTCACACACACACCACACACACACACACACACACACACACACACACACACACACACACACACACACACACACACACACACACACACACACACACACACACTTTAGTTTAATATCTTTATTATGCACCCCATACCCATCCTGTGGGCGGTAGTCAAAAGATTACAAAGGTACATAATGGGTCCAGTGACTGGACCCCAAAGTTATGATAGCTGAACTAGTTACAAAGGTAATGAACTCCAGGTAGATCTGGTCACAATCATGGCAAGTTACAGAGGTAATGAATCAGCTTCACTCCTATACATGGTTACAGTCATGAGCAAATTACAAAGTAATGAACCACTGATACGTCCACACCTGGTCACACTTGTAATGAGTTATAAATACAAATATTAAGTGGATCATACACCCACACTAGCGCGCGCGCGCACATACACACACGAGGGCGCACGCACGGACATGTGCATACGAGCGTACAAATATATGCATGCACACAAGGACGCACACCCACACACACACACCCACACACACACACACCAACACCCACACACACCAACACCCACACACATACCCACACACGCACACACACACACCCATGGAGAAGATTATCAGGAGAAGAGGGGTGGAACACCTAGAAAGGAACGATCTCATCAACAGCAGCCAACATGGTTTCAGGGACGGGAAATCCTGTGTCACAAACCTACTGGAGTTCTATGACATGGTGACAGCAGTAAGACAGAGAGAGGGGTGGGTGGATTGCATTTTCTTGGACTGCAAGAAGGCGTTTGACACAGTTCCACACAAGAGATTGGTGCAAAAACTGGAGGACCAAGTAGGGATAACAGGGAAGGCACTACAATGGATCAGG